CGCATGCCCCAACTCCAGTACCACTACTCCACCAATGGTACGCGCCGCCGCCGCCGCCGCCTCCGGGTATCGCTTGTGACCTAACGGGTGTCCGGTCGGGGCGGGCATGCGCACACCGCCACCACAGTGCTGGATGAACTTCGGTGCGGGAGGGCGGACGTCGTCGTGACCGTCAAGTCGGGGGCCGCCGTGTGTGGTCCGGAGGAAGCGCGAAAGGAGCGGAGAGAGGACCCGAGGCTGGACGACGCCTATTTCGACTCGTACGACAGCTCCGTGTTCTCCATAGACGCCTCGCCCGCTCTCTCCTCCTTCCCCGGCAAGCACTCTCTTGGCCGCGACGCCATCGGCCCCTTTGGCCCCCGTAAGCAGCACCACCCCAACACCAACCACCACCACCACCACCAACACACCAAGCTTCATCGCCCGCTCCATCCCCCCGTACCGCGCCTCCCTCCCCACCGCGCCTCCTCCTCCTCCTCCCCCCTGCGTCGGAACACTGCTTTTTGTCGGTGTGGCGTGATTGTGTTGGGCGTGAGTGATGTGTTTGTGGCGTGCGTGTCATGCGTGTGCGTGTGCGTGCGTGCTGACCTGGCTGCTGCCGTCTTCCACGCGGGTTTCACGCACCAGACTCACCTTGCGGAGTTGCCCGAATCGTATCCGTCCACCACGCCTGGGACGGACCCCTTCCTCTCCTCCGGCTCCGACACAGCGATGAAACCCGTGCGGCTGCCCTATGCTCACCCACACGGCAACCACGAGGATGGCAACAACACCCACGCCGGCGCCACCACCACCAGCAGCAGCAGCAAGGACCCGCCGAATAGAGGCGCGCGAGATCAGAGCCAGTCCCAGTCCTCCGTCAAGACCACGCCCCACCCACGCTCCGCTACAACCAGCGCCAGCACTACTACCACCACCACCACCACCAGCAGCAGCAGCAGCACCAGTACTGGTACCGGCAGAAGCGGCACCGCCACCGACCTCAGACTTACCCGCCTGCCTCGTGCATGTTTTTTTGGGGGGGTCCTTTTTTTTTCCCCTCACACACGTGGTGTTGTGGTCGTAGGTGTGACGGCGGCAATCGCTATCACGTCGGCCACGTCGGCCACCATGACCGCGATCGGCACAACGGCTGCTCCTTCTACCGGGTACGCGGGGCCGACGTCTCCCTCTCCTCGAGTCCCAAATGTTCCTTGCGCTCTACGCGGGTTTTGTTTGTTGCTCACACCGGGGCCCGGTGGGTCGGGTCTTGGCGCGCCAACTCTTCACAGGCCTTCGCCAGGCTCGGCCTTATCCGTCCGTCGCGCGAGCGTAGCGATAGCTCCACCTTCGACTTTGGCTTGGACAGGCAGCTCTTTGGCCACGGCGGCACCCCAATCCTCGGCGCAGCTGCCGCCTCACTCCAACGCCGCCGCTGCCGCGGCCTCCCTCAAGGTATCCCAGGCCCCGCCGGCCCAGCATGTTCCTCCTTCGGCTTCGCTCAAGGCCAAGTTCAAGAAAACCAATGTACGCGTACACCCCTCGGCTGGCTGGCTGGCTGGCTGGCTGGCTGGCTGGTATCGCTCGGCTGATGTTTGCGGCTGCGTCGGGTGGGTGGGTGGGTGGGGGTCCCATCTCGGTCGGTCAGGCGTGCCTGAATCCGTTTCAACCGCTGGTGGCCGAGGGTCCAGGCGGGCTCGAGTCCGATCCGGAGGGCTACAGCAGCAACAAGAGGCGTTGGTCGCATCTGTTCCATACGTCGATCTACCGCACGGTCGGGCACAAGGAGTACACCTACGCGCCCAATTGGAAGTCCCTGTGCGAGCCCGCCTCGTTGCCCATCACGACCGACTACAAGCCGACCCCGTCCGAGCTCAACACGCGCTTTGCCGAAGGCAACCACACCCTCAACGCCGACGACGCTGGTCCCTACCGCTCCCGCACCGAAGAGCTGCTCCGCGAGCTTGTCTCCCAGCGACTCGTGCAGGGCTACCAGCTCGTCGTGCCCCCCAAGCCCCGCAAGGACCTCAAGCCCCAAAAGCCCCACCCCAAGGTACCCTCTTCTCGCCCTCTGCCCACATGCCGCCAACTAGCGCTATGACAGAATCTCGCCACCGTCCATCCAGTGGAGTGTTGCTTGTGTGTGTGTGTGTGTGTCGTGCGACTTGACCGACTCTTTCCTGCCGCCCCCTCTCGATACGTGGCATTCCTCCGCGCGCCCCGCCTTGCAAGGAAAAGCCAGGTGCGGTGTCGTCGTCGTCGTCGTCGGACAAGAGCTCCTACACGGTCTCCATGGGCAACGACTACCATGAGTTCGCCAAGGAGGGCCAGAATATCCGGGTGAAGCGCTACCACAAAAAGGACGACCGCCGCATCAGGTGACTTTGTCCCTCCCTGCACGCCCTGCACGCCCTGCTCGCTCGCTCGCGGTGGTTCTCGCTCTCTCCTCTCGATTCATCTTCGCCTGTCGTGTGTGTCGTGTGTTGCAATGACATACCAAATGCCGATTGGGCGCTCGTCCCGCTTGACCTTCGACAGAACAGGAGGAGCAGGAATAGTGTACAGCTATCAACTCATGGGTCTGGGCGAAGAGCGATGGGCGGGGATGAGGGTCTCCTTCAACCACAAAGCTTCGGCCCAGTACTCCTGGAACTACCTCGATCAGGTGCGCAAAGCAGAGAATGGGTCGCACGCCCTGCCGCCCCTTTTCCTTCTGCTCACGCACCTTTGTTCACCCCCCCCCTTTCCAAATATGCGGTCATCAATCCTCGCGGCCACACGACCGCGATCACTACGCCACGCGACCGCCAAATCAGCTCATATGCGGATATTCGGACGACATGTACGACACCCTCAAGTACTCTACGGTCAAGTATGTTCTTGCGCCCGTCCAAACCGCCGACGTGGAGGAGCGCGCCGTCCGCAGCTTCCTTGCCTTTGCCAAGGCCCTGGCGGCGAAAGAAGACAGTAAGCTGAACGTCCAAATCGTACGCGCGCTCCCCCACTCATGCCATCCACGTTGCACGACCAACGCCAGGCACACACACACATACACACACACACACAGCTCTCCAAGTTCGCTATGGTGGATGACAGCGAGAATAAGGAGCGACCAGCACGCATGAAACCCGACGAGGTACTTTCGACCTACACTTGTCGGTCCGCCTTCACCACCAGCATATGTCGACAACTGGGGTGTGTGTGTGTGCTGGGGCTCTCGGGGGCATGTAGGTGGACAGAATCTTGGGCGCGATGCGCCATCCCATCAGTGGCCTCACGCCGTTGATCCGCGACCGCAGGTGGCGATTTCGCAACTACAAGAGCTGCTTTGTTGGTGCGCACACCCTACTCTCTCTGCCCCCGCCACCCGCCACCCGCCACCACCAGGAGCGGCAGCGGTGGGGGGGAGAAAGGTAGTCGGCAGCGGCCGTGGGTGCTGACCGGTGTCGGCCTTTTGTATGCCAGGCTCCGATTGTGTGGAATGGTTTCTGAAGAATGTAGACATCGAAAATCGACGCGCCGCAGAGGAGCTAGGCCAGCGAATACTGGAGCTTGGCTTCGTCGAGCACGTGGCCGGCAAGGCTCAATTCAAGGATGGCAACTACTACTACCGCCTCCACGTACGCATCATCCCTTGGTCTCTCCTTGCCCCCGCCCGCCCACCCACATCATCTTTCCCTCTCCTCCCTCTGCTCTCCCTGTGCGTGCGTGCGTGCGTGCGTGCGTGCGTGCGTGTGTGTGCGTGTGTGTCTGTGTGTGCCTCTACAGGAGGATTCGCCGACAGCCACTCTACCGGCAAGCGGAAAACCCGATTCTCCGCTCAAGGACCCCTCCCCCAACCCAGGCCAGCAGCAGCGGTCGGCCTCCCTGCTCAAGAAACAGTTGGCCGAATATATCGGCTCTGCTCCACCTCCAGGCGGTACTCCTCCCCGCCCCTCCGCCGCCGACCTCGCTGTGTGTGTGTGTGTGTGTGTGTTGTGCTGACTGATCCTGCGCCGCATGCACACATCATCAGGTACGATCACGCCACCGGCCACTCCAGTGGCGTCGCGGTCGAATACGCTTGATGCAGTCGCAGCTGGCACTGCCGCCTCTCTGGCCCCGCCGGTGGTGCTTGGCGCCGGCAGTGCGTCGCCTTCTCCGCAGCAGGGCAAGGCCGAGCAGAAGCCTCCCACCCACACCCTCAAAATCGAAATTCCGCCCACCAAGACCGACCGCTACGAATGGCTGGTGCGTGGCCGTGCACATGGCTCCTCCCCTTCTGACCACATCCTCCCACCCTGCCGCTGCTGCTGCTGCTGCTCGCCGTCCAGCTTCTCCTCTGACAGGTCCAGCACGTGTGTGTTGTGCGTGTGCGTGTGCGTGTGCGGTGGAGCGTGTAGTACATGGTGTATGACGGAGTCTATAATCCGTACGAGTGGTTCCACGTGGAGTTCCAGTGGCTGGTCTGCACGGGGTGCGTGGTGGACGACTTTTTGTCCATGCTCGAGCGGAAAGCCAAGAACCTGGGACTCCGATGGATCCCCATCCCTGTCTACCTGATGGACCGAAGCAAGGTGCACCCCCTACCCTCACCCCCCTCCTGCCCCCGTGTGTCCCTTCCCTGTCTGCCGTTTTTCACCGGAGGAGATGGGGGCGGGGCGGGGGGGGGACGAGAAGAAGACGAACGGGTTCATGGGAGCCTTTGAGATCCCGCTGGCCTGCTCCGTGCGCGACCTGGGAACGATGGTCATCCTGCAACAGGAGATCCTCGCCCTCTGTGATTTCCTGCTCGACAAAGCCTCCGGCGATCAGTACTACATCCACAAAACGGGCATGCTCTTCGCCCAGATCACCTGTGAGGGCTTTCTTTGGTACGCACTACCACCACCACCGCCACTCACTCCCCGCTCCACTGCCAGTGCCAAGTGAGCGCACACGTGCTCCGGGAGAACTCATGACCGGTTGGGCTCGGCGGCGGCGGCGGCGGCTGCAGCTCGTTGAACACGCTGCCTGGTGCGCGCCATAAACTGAGCAAGGGGATGAAGATGCTCCAGTACCTGCGCGACTTCTGTACCGACGCCGAGCGCGTGGAGGCCCTCCTGGGGCAGCTCCTCAACCCTCGCATGTCTCCCCGCTCCTTTGACGATCGCGACCACGACCTCCTCCTCGAGAACGAAACTGACGGCGAAGGTACCCACCCCCCACCCACCCCCCCAATCCCCCCGTCTCCCCCGGGAAAGCAAACCCGCCTCACCTCGAAGGCGTCCTTCCTTACTGAGCCTGTTTGTTGTTGTTCTTCTTCTTCTTCTTGCTTTTTCTTTGCCTTGCTTCCTCTGCAGACTCGGAGGAGCGACAGCTCGAATCGGACCGACAGAAGCTGCGCCAGCCGGCCCCGGTCATGGTCGTGCCTAAGAAGGGTCCAGGCCCCCTCAAGCCCGCGCGCGTCTTCTCTTCGCCCGGCCCGCTATCGCCAACTCTGCTTTCATCTGCTGCTCCCTCCTCCTCCTCCTCCTTGTGGCTGCCCGCCTCCTCCCCTTCACACACAGCCAGCGTGGGTCCCTCTCGCCACCAGCAGCACCAGCAGCAGGAGGAGCCTTCGGCCTCGCCTCCAGCTACACACCACCCTCGACCTGATCTGGGAGTTCTCCCTCTTGCCCCTCCCGCTGCCGCAGCCGAAAGCACCCCAGCCGATGATGATTCCTCAGGGGAGGGAAGCAGCTCCTACAACGCCCTGCTCTACTACTGCGTGCTCCATCGCGGGCGCGGCAGCACCACCGGCGGCGGTGGTGGTGACGGTACCTCCCACCAGCCGCTGCCCCCTGCCGTCGATGTCTCCGCACGCTGGCGAAGCCTCAATTTCCTTCCCGCACCCGGCCTGTCGACATAAATACCCAAAAAACGGAAAAGGAAAAGTACTTTGCCCTGCCAACAAAAAAAAAAAGATCCAGAAGAAGCAGCGCAATCGATAATGGCCACAGCGCCAGGTACGTACTGGCATTTTCCCTGGGGAGGAGACTCTCGTTGACCCGTCTCGACCTCAGATGAGGGGCGTGCAGACGCGTTACAACACCGGTGTGCGCAACTGGAGGAGGTAAACGTTACTCGTTTTGGCTTTACCATCGCGCCATCATTTCATTAATTTGGTGGGGATGGTAGGAAAACGCCCGACTCTCCTCCAAGCTCTTGCGCGCACGCAGGCTTATTGCCAGGGTGGAAAAGGAGAAAAGGTAAAGGACAGCTCATTGGGCAATCGGTTGGCGGGAACAACTTTCTCACAGCTGATCTCGATTACCCACAGCTTTGTTCTCGGACGTTTACTGCAGTACGAAGGTTGGCAAGCCTCGGACTCAGGAACAGACACGAACTCAAGTGGAGAGGAGGAGGAGGAGGACCATGACGAAGGAATCGAAATGAGCGACGACGGGAGCGACAGCGAGCAGTCGTCCGAGTCCGAGCCACCAGCCAAGAAGGCCAAGAGAGGACTAAAGAGAGACCGACTTCCCAGTAGGTGCAGCTCTTCTCTCTTGCCGACGACACATGCGCTCACTACAAGCAAATGGCTAGGCCCAAGGGACGACGCCTTTGCTGGCGAGAGCGATGGAGGACTGTGCGTTGCCGTTGTGAAGAAGAGACCGTGCAAAAGCAAGGCACTTGCCGGCTTCAAATATTGCTGGGTACGTACGTTGCATTGGGTTGCGTTGCGGGGCGAGTCACTAATGCGTGGTTGGTGCAGCATCATGCCCCGCTTGACCCCAACTCGCCCTTTACTTGGTGTCAGTTCGTCCGCGATGTCCACGGTTGTCCGCAGTGGCTACTCTCTCCCAACCTCTTTGAAGATGAGGCAGGAGATGTCTCAGACCATGCAGTTACCCCTGGTGTCGCAGCCAGCGATCTCAGGAGATTAGAATCGATTTCGACCAAACCAACCGTCAAACAATGCCCTTGGTGCAAGAATGCACCTGGCTCGTTTTCAGGCCTCGTCCATCACGCTGCAAGCGAGTTCCACACAGACTGTGTCTGGAATGCACACAGACTTCGTGCATAGTTTGGAGAGGAGGGGATGTAACGGGGATGCAACGAAAACGAGTAACACTAGTTGTACTCGTGTTACTACTTACAAGGAAGACCAAAAGCGAGATCCACACTGGCTTGTCACACCATTATTGTCACTGCTTTCCCACAGAGGCGCATCGCCTGGCAAAGCGATTGGCACCACTCCTAGACCCTGGGAGCTTTGAAGGCTGGTGAGTTTTCCTCCATCCATCAACGAATCTCATGTGTGTTGGTTCTTAGGGGATGCAACGAAAACGCGTAACACTCGTTAAACGCGTTTAACTCGTTTAACGAGTGTGGGCCACTCGTGAAACGAGTGGAGAATGTGTGAAACGAGTAGCAAACGCGTGAAACGTGTAGAGAACGCGTGGAACGAGTAAAAAGGCGTAAATAACGAGTAAAACGAGTAAATAACGAGTTAAACGAGTAAAAAATCGCGTCTAAATCAGTGTTGCCACAGGTGTGGCATCGTTTTCGTTGCATCCCCTTAGAGTGAGCCACTAGAGTTACTCGTGTTACTTGTGCAACTAGTTTTACTCGTATCGGTTGCATCCCCAACAGTGGTGCAACCACTTAAACTCCAAAAACTATGCATCACGGCGAGTCGTCGCCAGCTGTACGGGGCGGGGGGGTGCGGGTGTGACGAATCCTACCGCATCTTGATGCCCTTGCTGTGCTGAGCACGACAAGCTCATTCTCACGTGGTCAAGAGCTTAGGGGGCAAGCGAGTAAACTAAAGATCTTACTAAAAAAACACCGAGGTCGAATGGCCACTGAGGCATCCTACTGGGCTGACTCTATCACACTTTGAAGCCTGTTCTCTGTGACGCATTTTGAACGAAACGCGAGGCCAGGAGCTTTCCAGGGAAGCGAGAAAACTCATCATCATGACAAAGCAACGTCGAGGCCCTAGCGGCCCAATGAGGCATCCTGGAGGGCTGAGTCTTATCACATCTGGAAGCCCATACTATGTGACGCATTTTGAACGAAACGCGAGGTCACGAGCTTACAGAGCAAGCGAGAAAAAGAGTGATCATTCTGGTGTGGCGTTGATCACAGTAAATTTCTAAGTCAAAACTCCGCACGCGTGGCCGAGCAACCGCCAAAAAAACCAAGTCCAAACTCCGCTCGTTTCTTTTCCTGGAAAACAATGAAGTCAAAACTCCGGCTCTTTCTTTTTTTTCTTGCTTCTTTCTTTTCTTCCTTCTGCTCGTCCCCTAACACCGCCATTATTGTCATTGCGCAGAAATCTTTGCCAATGACATCATCAGGTTCTTCTTCACCATTGCTCCTTGCTAGTCTGCTGTACGTTTTCGTCGCTTGGCCTCTCCTTTCTCCTTCCTGCGCTTTCTCTCTTCGTCCTCCTTCCGCTTTTTGTCACCAGACCACGTCAGTTTGTCCTTCGTCTTTTCCTCCTGCTCGAGCTGTACGGTAAGTTGAGGTTAGGGCGACAAATCAAATTGATTGCTGTGGAAATAGGGGGGGGCACCTTTTTGGCCGCTATGTAGGCGTCTTCCACTTCATCCGTGTCTGTCACGCCTTGCTCCTTCAGCTTCTTCTTCAACCTTTCAAAGTGTAGGAAGTCACGGCAAGGGGCCACCTTCTCCAATTCCAGTATTCGGTCCTCGCATGCCTTGAGCCGTTCGTAGACGTCTCGCGTTCCTGGCGACGTGTGTCAACACCACACAACCCACGCACGCACGCACAGGTGGGGAAGGGACCTGTACGGGCTTCAGCCAAATTCAGGTGCTGCTCCATGTTGCGTAGTCTCTCCTCCACCCCTTTTTCTGTAGGGCCGAGGGAGACAGCGCCACTGGGCTTGTGCAACCGGTCAAGAGGGCCGTGCAGGTTCTCTACGCGTGAAGTTTTGATTTGGAGCTTGCGTGGTATCTTTTTAACATCAATACGAGAGCACCCCCTGAATTGAAAAGGGAGGTTAAATACGTCGGAGAAGTGAAGGGGGGGGGAGATGCTACGTTGCTTCGTTGCCAATGAAGCAGAATTCTTCTTGGTTGCTTTGGCAGTTACGCTCCTTCTTCACCGACGCCAAGGTCGCGATCCTACGCGATAGCTGGCAAATTATTAATTGTGCATCCTTCTCTTTGCCCTGTGAATTGGATTCATGGATGGCTAATTAATAACCTCAGAGTGGGAGCAGGAGACGAGAATTCCTCCTTTGTTGGCGGCACCAGCACTCGGCCGAGTCTCCACCTCCATGTTCCGCGCTTCGTGCAAAATAAATAAATAATAAAAAACAGCTTGAACAAAAATCAAACCAAGATATACAACAACGAGCGTCCTTCGTCATGCTCTTCTTCTTCTTCTTCCATTATCTTCTGCCCAGGTCTCGGAGATGGGATTTCGTCGCATCCTCTTCTTCGCCTCCCTCCCAATTTTTCCATGCCTTCTGGCCCTCCTTCCCCTTGGCACGCGTAGCAGCTCCCCATCTATTCGGCCACGTCGTGATGTTCGAGGTGTCGGCGTGGGTAGTTCGTTGTTCTCGGGTTGGATGCGAGGTCGCTGATGTGTCGTCGGTTGTGGTGCGCAGGTTGTGGAGGTATATTACAGTGGGTGGATGGTCTCACATCATTATGCAGCAACCCCCGCCCCCTCCACCAGCCGCCTGCTTCTTGCCGCCGTCGGGTTGGTCCCTATCTCTGAACTCGACCTCTTCCTGCGCATGTGCAGATGAAGGAACATGATGGTTAGTCATCGAACAACGAGGCGCGCCTGAAGGAGAAGCGACAGCGATTTTGTTTGGGGGGGGGGAGGACGGACCACTTCGTGAAGCGTGTCGTACTGTGAGAGGGGTGTGTTCGGATCAAGCCACATGTGTTCCTGCGGGATGTAGAGGCCCACATTGCCTTGAATGGCGACGTTGAGCGTTTCCGAGATGAAGTGAATGGCCTCGTTGGCGGTCAATTTGGAATCTATCCGCAGCGTCTTGTAAATGAGAGGATAGGTAGGAGGAAACTTGATTCTCATTACGAGCGCCATTGTGAGGTGGTTCGCGTGTGCCAAAAGGGGCTGGCAATGAATGAAGAAGAGGAAGGGGCAGCCGCGTTGAGATGATGAGAGGGCGCGAGATGCAACGGAGAACGGCGGTGGGGGCTGGGTTGTCCGTGTGAGGCCACCGCGGGAAATAGCCGGCCACGGGATACCTTGCCACCTCCGACGCGTTGGATTGGGCACGCTCAAATTAGGTCCATTTCTTTTGGTTTCTCTTATTTTTGCTTTGGTCACGAAAGCAATTCGCCGCAGGAGCTGCTCGCCGAACGGGCAAACCTTCCTCCTGTCCTCACGTCTCGGCTGCGGGGGCAGCTGCGCCGTGATAGAACAAGGGTTCACATTCCTCCTCGATGGTTTCTTCTTCCGCAAGGCCGGGCGAGAGGAGGAAGAACTTGTTGTTTCCTTTCGAGAAGGCGTAGCAGCCCACACACGTGACCGTGAGCCCCCTTGCTGAAGTGGCGTGTGCCGCGAGTGAGCGCGGACAAGCAGCAGCACTTTCCTGACGGGCAGACATGGACGGCGGCGGCGGCGGCGGTGGGATGTGTCAAACCTGCTTCCAGCTCACGTAACCGCTTTACCAGCTTGGCTTCGTCGGAGCCTGGTACGGTCTGGTCGTCGTTGCCTCCTCGGAGCTTGCCCAGGGCAGGGTCGAAGCTAAACACAAACTTGAAAGCGGGAAAGCCGATGTACTCGGCGTCCTCGGGTATGGCTTCCACGTGCACGCGATCTGAATGGGGGGGGGGCGGACCATCAACAACACCAAACTTGTGTGGTGGGCAGACCGTACCTGAGCCCGGCACATGGTGCACACCCAGCACTTGCCAAGTTTCGTCGTCAAAGAAGAAGGCCTCTTGTGCAAGCAGGTGCAAGTAGCTCCGCACAAAATCCTCCCTTTCCTTCTTCTCCTGAAAAGCAGTGGTGTTTACACGTAGTTGTAGCAGGTAACACCAACACTGTGAATGCACGCACGCCACGATGGATCGGCGACGGGGGGGGGGGAGGAGGACCTGCTGCCGTTCAGGTTGGCCACTGGCGGAGTGGGGGTGTCGGCGTGTGCCTGCCGCTGCACCCACGAAATGCGGGCGAACAGAGCTGGTGGTGGGTGTGACAAGTTGTCGAGGCTGGCGGGACCTCCAAAAGGTGGAGGTAGTAGTCGGTGCGGCCGTCCATCGCAGTGCCACCGCGGAAGGGCAACGCGCCGGTGAAAAGCAGCTGCTCCGGGGCAGGGGACTACCCCGCACAACGCCACGCCGGAAGAGGGAGGACATTGAGGAATGCGGCCCCCACCGGTTGGTTATTTTCTTTTTCCTGTTTTCTTTTCATTTCTTTTGAGCATTTCCTTCCCCGAACAAGCTGGGATTTGGCAGAAGGGCACAAACAAGCGCACACCAGATCACAAGATTCAAGCACCACATGTCGCACAACATGTTCGTTGGCTCGGGCAAACGCAGTGGCACCCGCGGTGGCGCTGACCGTACGTCACTCGATCTCGCCCTTTCTTGAACATTATTTTCACCTGTTGGCGCAGAGTTCAGCTGGGAGAAGGTAAAGGGCGACAAATACAAGGATTTCTACCTCGGTATGCCCCCCCCCGGCATTGGTTTTTTTCTTCTTCTTTCTGTTGTGGGCTTACTGGACGCGTGTACATGCAGGACACTCGCTGCACACGACAGCGAAACCAACCTTCAACAACCGAAAACCAAACCCGCTGTGGTGGACCAAGGCCCAGGAGGACAGCAATGGTGAGGTGGACGACGCAGCGCGCCGTCGGGCTGAAATAGCAGCCATCAAGCGCGAGGAGGAGCAGCTGCACCAGGAAGCTCTGTACGTCGCAGCAGTAGTAGTAGAGGGGGGGGGGGAGGAGGAGGAGGAGGAGGAGTAGACCCCGCCATTTCTCCCGAGAGGCCTCCGAAGGGCTGCCGGCTGACTGATGCCGACCGTGGTCGGTGCTGTGGGCACGGTCACCAGAGGGCTGGCGCCGCGGAGGCGAAAGACACAGGAGACACAGCTCGACTCCAACGAGATCCAGGAGCTCACCCGACGCGGCAACACCGAGCGTGACGCTTACGACGCCGAACGCGTTGCGGGCCTCGGCTTTGCCCCGTACGCGCCTCCTCCCTCATCCCCCTCCCTCGAGCGACTGGCCGCCATCATCATTGGCGGGGACTGACTCCTCCCGGGCAAACCCTTTTTTCCCAACACCCAACACCCAACCCCACGCGTGTACATGGGACCGACGTTGCTGACACAGGGCGCCGCAGCACCAGACAGACGCGGCACTCCTGCCCACCACTTCCCGGTCGGCGAGCGGCGAGGGCGAAGGCGGCGATGCCGAGCGGCGCACGGGCCGAGGGCGACCTGACACCGGTGAGTCTCGGGACGAGTGGGAGGAAGCCCCAGGCGACCTCACGACGACGACGACCAAGGCCAAGCAGGGCGACAAAAAGGATCCCAGCAGCAGCAGCCGGAAGAGCCGGAGGGACAAGGAGGAGCGCAGGGAGGAGAAGCGGCGAAGGAAGGAGGAGAAGCGAAAGAGGAAGGAGAAGGCCAAGAAGGACAAGAGGTCGGGGAAAGAGCGCTCCGAGCGCGACAAGCACGCCCGCACGGAGGGCAGCGACCGGAGCCGTGGCCGCGAGGCTGGCGACAACAGGGACGACGACCGCAAGCGGCGACTGCACGGGGACGACCACGGGCGCGAGGAGCGATCACGCCGTCGCCGTGACAGCCGCAGCGCCTCCCGCTCTCCGAAACGGCGGAGGCACGACTCTCCCTCGCCCCCAGTCCGCCGCCGCTCCCGCCACGACTCGCCCTGACGGGGACGAACCACCATTTGGGTGGAGTATGTCCACATCACGTGGCTCTCTCCAGTTCTTCATAGAAAGGTGAAATGAAAATATGGAGACACGCGCCCTCGCGATGATGACAATAATGATGATGATGCGCGCGCACCTGGTCATTTCTTCTTTCATGGTGACGTCGATGCCGGGGCCGAGGCCACGGGCGAGGACGCGGAAGGCGGCTGCTGTCGCCTGGCGAGCAGCTCCGCAAGCCACTGCCGCATCTCCGGGTGCTGCACCGTCGTCTCCGCTCCCCGAAAGAACTCGGAAAGGTCTAAGCCTTGCGCTGCTCCATCCACAAACAACAAAACACGACACAGAGACGCACGCACGCAACAAGCAACACGTATCCACGCCGTCGGTGGTGTGAGTGAGCGTTGTGACAAACGCCAACACCTGCCCATGAGGCCTCCCTCTCCGCCAGCCAGCCAGCCAGCCAGCCAGCCAGCCAGCCAGCCAGCCAGCCAGCCAGCCAGCACCAGGTGAAGACGGGAGGAGGGGAGGGATATAGGCAGTAGCAGGAGGGCGCGTACAGGCTTCGTACTCGTGGGCCTGTAGGTACATGTCGAACTTGTCGATCTGCCCGACAACGCGAGCCTCGGGCGTCTCGCCCTTTTCATACTGTTGTTGCGTACCTCACCGGGTCAGATGACGGTGACGTGTGGACGCGCAAGCGCACGCCACCGAGGGCGTGTGTCGGCGTGCGCGTGCTGCTGCTGCGACGGCCTAGCGGGTCTTTTCCAGGCGACGGGAGGAGGAGGCGCACCTCAAGCCACAGCTCCTCGAACTCATCGGCGGCGGGAAGACCGGCCAGCATCGCCCGTATGGTGCCCATCGCTTCCTGTGGTGTTACCCCACCCCCACCCCCATTCCATAAGCCACTTGGGGGGGGGGGCATTTAGATAGGGAGGGAGGGGGCCCACGTACGTGCTCCAGGCGGTACTTCTCGTCCTTGGTCACCCCGCAATGGGGCGTGATGTCGCCCACGATAGCTGTCACCCACCCACCCACCCACCCACCCGCCAGCCAGCCACCGCCGCCGTGGCACGGGAGGGAGGGGCAGGGCGAAAGCTGCCGCCGTCAGCAAACGCACCCAAGGTGATCCCCGCCGCCGCTCATGCATTGCACTGGCACAACCGCGGCGGCGGCGGCGGCGGCGGCGGCAAGATGGGATGGGAACGTAACGTACCCTCTGTGCGAGTGAACACCAGCCACCACCAGCCACCAGCCACCAGCCACCCACCGGTGAGTGCATCCGCCGCACGGTAGGTAACGGGATGATTGTGGTTGGGGGGGAGGGGGAGGAGGGTACCAGCCATGTCGTGTACGAGGGCGAGCTTGACCATGCGCTCCTTGTTGAGGGACGAGTCGGCAAACAGCATGGCCATGATGCCCATCCGGTACATGTGGTCTGTACCACCACCACCACCCACCACCCGTCGAGCCCTCCCGCCGTGAGCCGAGTGCCGCCTCTCGCGCCGCCGCCGCCGCCGCCACGAAAGGAGGAGCCCCGGGGCGTACCGGCGATGCACTCGGGAGCGGACACGTTGTGGCGCACCCATCCCGTTCGCTTGAGGTGCTGCAGTGTGCCCAGCGCAGAAGCCGAAGAAGTGGTAGGAAAAAGTGAAAAACGTGGTGAGACCTTTTGAGCTGGGCCACAACAATGGCACACCACACGTGTGACGTGTTGAACAACGGGAATATTGAGCCTTTGGTGGGGGGAGGGGGGATAGGGCGTCGTCACACGGACCTTGAGCTTGCCCATGAGGCACATGAAATCCAGCAGGGAGCTGGCAGCAGGAGCAGCAATGGAAGCCGGGGCAGGCGCGGCGATGGGTTGCTGCTGCTCCATGTCCTCCTGTGGTGGTGAGAAAGTACGGGGGGGGGGGCAAGAGGGGCGAGGAAGGAAATACCAAAGAAAGAGGAAAAAAGAGAGAGAAAAAAAGAAGAAGAAAAAACAGTGCCCAACACCTGCGGATGGACGCTCCCGGCCTCGACACGGCCCACCAGCAGTCAGCTACCTCCTCCTCCTCCTCCTCCTCCAATACGTCGGCACCCACGAACCCGCAGACAGCCGTTCTCGATCGCGAGATGTTTCAGGAGACTCTCAATCTGGTGGCCCTCCGCATTCCTCAACGCATGACGGAGCCCCTCCTCAAACGCCTGGGCGGGTACCGTCGGTGGTGGCTGTGTGTGTGTGTGTGTGTGTGGCAGGCATCGTGATGAGCCAGGCCGCCGAGATATCCGCGGCCGTTAGCGAGTGTGGGTGTTGGTGGGGGCGGCACTGATAATATTCGACGTGCGTGGCCAGGGGGTACCTTCTGTCGCGGCCCAAGGTGAAGGTGGTCATCCCCGACCTCGGCACCACCAGCGGCACCAGCTCCACCACGGCTACCGCCACCCCTACCAAGGGCGACTCGAGGCTCCTCCTCCTGAGCGAAACTGTCACCGAACCGGGTACGTACGCTGCACACCGGTCGTGTCGTTGGTCGCGTCGTTGGTCGTGTCGTTGGTCGTGTCGTGTCGTTGGTTGTGTCGTGTCGTGTGCTCAGCGGGTGGGACGATGTGCCGCGCGGCTCAGATCTGCGGCAGCTGCCGGAGGAGGTGCGGGGCTACGTGCTGGAGAATGCCGAGGTGACCCGCTACACGCTGCACCTGGGCTATCCTCACCTGTCCCTCGGTACGCGCACAACACCCCCCCCCACCCAATATTATGAACCCCAACGCGGCCGTGTTGCGACGCAATCGCGCGCTGCCTCACGGCGGGCGTCTCGCCTGTCGCATACGCACGTGAGTGCACGTGTAATCTAGAAATCTATCTGTCTATATATATATATACATATACACACACATGCATACCTACTGTGCGTCGTGTCCCAGAGCAAGTGCTGCGGCGCGTGCTTCCGCCTGGCCTACCGGCGGTGTCGTCCTTCGAGACCATAGGCCACATCGCCCACCTCAACCTCCGGGACGAGCACCTCCCCTACCGCCATCTCATCGGGCAGGTCATCCTCGACGTACGTAAACCCCCCCCCCCAATATAGCACCCCCGCCTCCCCGTTTGCAGCGCCGGGATGTGCGTCGCCGATATCCGCCGCAACGCAACGCAACGCAGCGGGCTGTCTTCAGGAACTCACCCCCCCCTCTTCTCATCCGGCCACAGAAAAACCCTCGGCTGCGCTCGGTGGTGAACAAGACGCACGGCATCAATACCACCTTCCGCACCTTCGCCATGGAGGTCATCGCCGGGCAGGAGGACCTCGACACCGAAGTGGTACACACGGCACACACACACACACACACACGACACACACGACACACTCAGTTTCCGTCCCTCCGCCTTGCGGTGGGCATTGCAGAGCGAGAGCAGGTGCCGCTTTGCCTTCAACTACGGGCAGGTGTACTGGAACTCCCGCCTGCAGGCTGAGCACGAGCGACTCCTTAAGAAGCTCAAGCCCGCTGACATCGTCTGTGCGCGTCCCCTCCTCCCTTCCCACACGATGCTTCTCTCTCTCTCTCTCTCGGGTCCATGGAATGCGCATATGATCACTCACGAACAGATATGGCGGCGGCGGCGGCGGGTCGCGATGGCGGGCAGGTGACATGTTTGCTGGCGTGGGTCCCTTTGCCGTCCCCGCGGCCAGGAACACCGGGTGCCAGGTCTACGCCAACGACCTCAACCCCAAATCCTACGAGGCTCTCGTCAGCAACGCGCTCCGCAACAAAGTCCGTAGCCTCCGCCCTCACACGACACTCACGGCACAACACACGCACACCGCACACCGCACACCGCACACCGCACGCACGCACGCACGCACAATACACACACACACACACACACATTCACAATACACATTCAAAATGTCGGAGGAGAGACCATCCCATCGCGGTTGGTGACAAGGGCCACTTACAGGTGCGTGTTACCGTGGCCCACCACATCAGGTGCAGCAGCTCGTGCGGGCGCACAACATGGACGCGCGAGATTTTGTGCGGGCGCTCTACAAGGAAACGCCCCCAGTGCCGTTCACCCAGGTCATCATGAACCTCCCGGCTTCGGCCGAGTCCTTCCTCGGTCCGTGCACCCTCGCCTCGCTCGCCTCCTTTGGGCGCCATTGACACACTCGCCTCACCCCCGCCCCCACCCCACACCCCCCCCCTTCCTCTTCGTTGGTAACCAACCACGCTACGCTACGCTGGCTGCACCTGTTCTGGTGGTGGTTGCGGCATGTCACAGATGTCTTCAGGGAGTTCCCCGCCGAGCTCAAGCCCCCCACTATCCACTGCTACGTGTTCACCAAGGACACCATTGACCCGCGCGCGGACGTCGTCAAGGCACCCCCCCCCAACCATCCCCCCCCAATGATGTACCAACCATTTTGTCCCTTCCGAGCGGGAAGGAGTTTATCGCCGCCATGCCCGCACGCAGCAGCAGCAGCAGTGCTCACGCCACGGTGGGTGGGGGTGCGTAGCGTGTCGAGTCTGTGCTGCAGTGCGCGCTCGAAGAGCGGGAGGTCTACGAGGTGAGGGATGTGTCGCCCAAGAAGCTCATGATGTGCGTCTCCTTCCCGCTGCCCCGAGCCGCCTATTCCCATCCGGTACCCCTCCCCCCCTCCGAGCTTCCTCACCCGCCACCCGCCACCCGCCACCCGCACCCAAAGGGGTTTCCTGTGGGTGGGAGATGGTCGCAAGGCATGGCGTCCGTAGTGCCGTGTGTGCCGTGGGAGGATGGCGGGCGGCGCCGACCCACACGTGTGCTGCAGACCCCCCACCCTCTAACCACCAAACCGTGCGGCGTCTCTCCTTTGTTCGATCGCCCGCAGTAACGCCTGTTCGTTCCTCCCTTCCCTCCAGGCCCACGAGGAGGAGGCGGCGGCGGCGGAAGACGGCCGCGGCGCCAAGCGGAAGGAGCCCGACGTACCCGACGCCCCCGCCCCCGCCCGCGAGGTCGATGGCGAAGAGAGGGAGGAGGAGGGGGAGGAAGAGGAAGAGGAAGCGGCCGGCGACCGAGCCGTTCCTCCCCGCCCCAAGAAACCAAAAGCCTAGGCTTTATCCCCCCAACACCGTGTTCACCCCCCCCCTTCATTTTTCTGGTGGCCTTGCGCACCAAGTCCTTTCGTGTGTGCTGGGCAACCACCGGTGGTGCCCTAAGAGATCGCTTTTCGTCGTCGCCGTCTAGTCCTACGTTCGTTCTTTAGTACTTCTGGAGGCAGTCGGCACCACCAAATCAGCCAGCGCATGAAGCACAGCCTCTTTGGAGGAGAACTGCAGCAGCCGCCAGCACCAGCACCAGGAGGAGGAAGACATGCGCGACGGCGCCCGCCTTCGCCTCCGCCGCCTTCCTTCTTCGGGGCCACGGGCGGCGGCGGTCGCTCGGTGCAGCTGTACGGGTCTACGCCCTCCCTTACGCTCCCACGCGACCGCCGCCACGTGGACCCAGTCGCCACCAGCAGGGCCACCTCTTTGTCGTCCGACTCTGTCCCCGCACGCCCTCCTCCTCTCACCACGGCCACCACCACCAACGCCGCCACCACCACGACCACCACGACCCCGGCCAGGGGCGTGGTGGTGGACGTGGGCAGCGGGCTGCTGGCGGTGGTGAAGCCCTCGTACCACCACTGGAGGCAGCGGCTGCTGCAGCGCCGCCACTCACTCGATCGCAGGGGCGCCTCCTCCACCACGTCCCCGTCATTGCCGCCTGGACGCACCACCAACGATGGGCCACGCGCGGGCGCCGCCGCCCTGTTTCCCTTGCGGCGGTCCCGAAGCGAGGGCGAGGAGCAGCCATCTGATGCACCACCACTGCAGCCCCCACCACCACCGCCGCCAGCAGGCGCCGCCGCCGTAGGAGGCGCAGAAAGCGGCGAGGAGGAGGAAGCGGCGGCGGCGCACCTGCAGCCCCGCCGATCTGCTGCGTGCACTCCGCGCCAGCAGCAGCAGCAGCAGCAGCACACTGTGTGGAAGAGACGTCGGGAGAGGGGCCGCCCAGCTGACGGCGGCGACGGCGGCGATGAGGCGTTGTTGCAGATCCGTGCGCCCCTGCTACGAGCGGCGGCCACGGAGAGAAGCGGAAGCGGAGCAGCAGCAGGAAAGCAGGTGGCGGCGATGGCTGAGAGAGAGCGGTGGGCCAGGGTGGCGCGCGCGCGGGAAGAGGCCCGTCGGGCAACGCGTTGGCAGATCGGAGCGCTCGCGGCGGCGCGGCGCGAGCTCATCGCGGTGCGCATGCGGGAGCGGTGCCGGCAGCAGCGCGTGGAGCGACGCGCGGAGGAGCGGGACACCACGACCCGCCGGGCGAGGGAGGGGCACTTGCGCCACGTGGTCCTCCTCGCGCCCCTCCTCGCCCTCGTGCTCGTCCTCCGCCACGTGCTCCACCTCCTCTAATCATATATTAATGATCCCCTCGTCGTTCCGCCCCCCCCCCCACCACCACCACCTCCACCTCCACCTCGCCCCTAACGTTCTCCTCGCGCGCCCATATGCACCCTCTCTCTCTCTCTCTCTATGTGTGTGTGTGTGTGTACCAGAACTATCTATCTAGGTGTATAGAGAAAGAAAAATATGGCACACGACACACGACGACGACAACATATGACACGACACGACACATGCATGGGAGGAACCGAAACGTTGAAAAAAAAGGCGTGTTGTATGGGGGTACCGGAGGAGTAGGAGAAGGATGATCGTGGCGGGAGAGGGAGGAAGAGAGGCGGTGGTGGTTGCTCAGGCCCAGAGCCAGTTCATGAGGTGGAGGAAGGTGGGCTTGATGCTCTCCTTGCCGTTGAGGTAGCAAAAGAGCGTCAGCGCCGAGCCCACGCTGAAGAGGAACACCTCCCCGTTCTTGAAGTACTGCACGCCCTGCGCCATCGCGATGGCGGCACATCCGCCCACACCACCAACGACAGAGGTGATCACCGTGTCAGTCAGACGCCCACAACGGCCGTTGTGAGAAGGGAGGTACCCGGGGGATCATGTGGTACTTCTTGCACACGGCGTAGCAGCTCTCCATGGCCTTGGGCAGGCAGTACAGAGCCAGCTCGCGTCTACGCGCCGGCACCTCGATGAGCGACGCCAACCCTGCAGCCATGCATGGTGCGCAACCCGCCCGCCACCAGCCACCACCACCAGCCACCACCACCAGACAAGAATGAGTGGTGAACTTGAGCGTTGCGGGGCAGAGCAGCGTCTCACGCGATGAGAGGGGAGGCACTGATTGGGGGGGGAGTGTGAGGCGTGAGGCGTGGTAGTGGGGGGGGAGGTACCGGGGAGGGCGAGCACGGGGTAGAAGCACCGCACGTCGCGCATGAGGAAGGCCCGCTGCGCAAGGCACGCGCTAAACCACCCGGCGGCGCAGTACAGGCCCAGGAACAGCGACGACCTGCACCACGCACCACCACCACGTTGGTTGGGTGGTTGTGGGTGGGTGTGGGTGGTTGTGGGTGGGTGTGGGTGGTTGTGGGTGGTTGGTTGGGTGGGTGGATAGGGTTTGGGTGGTGGGAGGTGTGTGGGGGGGGGCGAACCGGGTGATGTTGAGGGCGAGCTTGGGGAGCACCTGGGTGAGGACGAAGCGCAGCAGGGCGAGCACGTGGGCGCGCGTGCGCAGGTGGCCGCACAGATTGCGGATGCTGCAGCTCACCATGCGCCCCAGCTCCCGCGGCCCTCGGCGCCTCTTCTCCGCGCCCTCCGCCTGGCGCCGCACCTGGTCGGTGTCCTTGTTGATGCTGGTGGTGGTGGTGGTGTTGGTGTTGCCGCCTTCGTCGTCGTGCCGGCCACCACCGTGGCTGTCGTGGTGGTCGCTGTCGTGGAGAGCTCGCATGGAGGCATCCCGGTGGAGGGCGAGCCGGCCCCTGCCACCACCGTCGTTGCCAGCGGCAGCGGCAGTAGCAGCACAGGCGGGGACGAGCTCCAGGTGCGTGGCGTCGTCCGCTCTCTCGGTCGGTAGTGGCGGTGGCGACGACGACGAGGGAGGCAGCACTTCGAAGGCAAGGGAGCGGTGGTAGCCGCGCGCCACGATGAAGCCCCGCAGCTTGAGGAGGAGGAAGACGAGGGTCGTCACCGAGTGCAGGGTGGCGTACATGGGGAACGCCCGCCAGAACGCCTCGTACGTGAACCCGGCAAAGTGCTGACGGCACCCGATCGATTACACCACACACACGACACCACAAGACACCACAAGACACCACAAGACACACCACACGACACACGCATGACCACGTCAGGACCGGTGGCGGGAAGACGGGTGGGAGGGAGGGAGGGAAGATGGAGAGTTGGATGGGGGTGGGAGTGGGAGTGGGAGTGGGCACCGAGAAGCAGTTGGAGTCGGGGTGTACGACGTCGCAGATCTTGTAGTGGTGGAGGCCGAACAGGACGCCCATGACGTCCTTGAGCTGGTGCTCCCGCGCCCACTCCATGAACATGGCCCGGTTGAGCTTGCCGCCTCTGCGCAGGGGTGCGATGGAGTCGATGACGCGCACGTCCTTGCCCCCGAACTTGATCAGGAAGCTCGAGTAGGTCGGGTCTAGCGTGTCCCGCTCCATGATATACGAAAACAGGATCTGCGACGCTGCCCCCCCCCCACAACCCACCCCCGTGCGTGTGTCGTGTGTGAGCACGATGACGACGACGGCGGTGGCGGGTGGCTGGCGGTGGCTGGCGGTGGGTGATGGATGGTGGCAGTGGCTGGTGGCGGGTGGTGGCGGCTGGTGAGTACCGGAGAGGGTCATGAGGGCGACGTCAACGTGGGGCGCGAGTCGTTCGAGGAGAGGCGGGAGGAGGCGGTTGGCGGAGAGGAAGCGGGCGAGGAACTCGCCGCTACGCGTGAGGCCGTAGAGGGCGAGGCCCTTCCGATCGCCCTGCGGTAGCCAGTACAGCGCCAGCCCGCTCGCCGCCCCCGCCGCCAGGTCTCCCGCCCACAGCATCCACCGCTCCCGCCTGTCTCTGTCAGCCACCGCCACCTCATCCTCTTCTTCTTCTTCTTCCCACCCCACCTCGTCGTCGTCGCCGCCGCCGTCGACCTGCTGCTCTTGGTCGTGGTCGTCGAGGTCCGAAGAGGTCGTGGTCGTGGCGGCGGCGGCGTCGAGAGCGAGGGAGGAGCACGGACGGGCCAGGGACCCGGGCAGGGCCGCCACCTCGCTCCCCGACGAGGTCAGCGATACAACTGCGGCGGCGGCACCGCGTGGCCGTCGCGACGGTGGCAGCAGCAGCGCAAGTCTTGATGATGATGATGATCGCGGTTGGGCGTGCGGCAGAGGTGCGGGTGGCGGTGGTCCGGTGCGTCGAAGGGCGGCGCGTGTGAGGCAGGAGAGGGCCTTCCAGGCCGAGGAGTAGGTGCCCAGGAAGAGGCCATAGCGCAGGTCGAGCAGGGTGCGGAGGACCAGCCGCGCGGTGAGGGGGCGCCCCCGCCGGAAGGCCGCGAACACGAGCACGTTGAGGAGCGTCTTGAGGCCCGACCCCACCACGAAGCACCGCGCGAACGTACGCACGCACCACCCCGCACACGTAGTGCCCCCGCCGTGCACGCACCTCGCCGCCGTTGGCGTCGTTGGCCTCCTGCTGCTGCTGCTGGCGGTGGTGGTGGTGGTGCCGGGGTGGTGGTATTGTGGGCCGCCCTCCTCCTTTTTGCCCTTTCCACGGCCAGCGAGGCGGGCCACGAACCCCTTTGCCTCCTCCTCCTCCTTCACGTGCGGCTGCGGCTGCTGCAGAGGTACCACCCCTCCCAGCAGGAGGAGGCCTCCGCCATCGTCGTCTTCCATCGGTGGTGGTGGGTGGTGGTGGGGGCGTCTGCAACCACGCGGTGCGGCCGGGACAAAACCACACAGCCCTTCAAAAATAGAAAAGAAAAGAAAAAGAAATAAAAACTCCTAACTCCGTTTGGTTGGTGCGCACGAAGCTGTAAGTGGTGGGGGGGGGGGCGATAGTGGTCCTGAGCTCAGATATCGCCTTCCTGTTCCCCACATGTGCGACACAACATGGGTTGGGGTTGGGGTTGGGGGTTGTATATGAGCCACGAACACGTGCAGTGAAGAGGAGGGGAGGGAGCTGCGTACGTCGCCATAGTACTTGCGCACGAGCTGGGTAGCCTTGGAGGCGATGACCTCGTTTTGGTTGTACTGCAGATTCTCCAGCGTCTCCAAGCCGTCCTCTTCCTCCACCAGCAGTGCTCCCTGTTCATTAGAACGTGCGTGCGTGCGCCACATTGGGGTCAACTGACTGAGGGACCGCCCAACCGCGGGAGGAGGAGGCAGCGGCACGCACGTCGGGGTGGTGGTCGAGCACCATCGCGAGAAAGTCGAGCCCCATGACCACGACCTCCAGGTCCTGTCACGCGCCATCGGTACATTAATCGCAAAGAGCCGGAGGAGATGCATAAAACAAACCAGTACGTGCGTGCGTGTGCGGTGGTGCGTGTGCCACGCTGGATCAGATATCTATATTCTACAGGTAGGTAGGTGTACCGGGGCTTTCAGGAGAGATATGAACTCGGGGAGCACCCCACCTTTGACAAGGGAGATCAGGTTGCGCTTCTCCGAGGCGATGTTCATCAGCGCAAAGCCGGCCTGCGATCGCCAGCACCAGCCACCAACAGCAGGAGCAGCCACCACCGCCGCCGCCACCATCAGTTGCGCGTGCATCGAAGTGAGGGTGAGTGAGATGTGAGACTGGGGGCGAGGGGGGCGATGAACCTCCTTCTTGATGTCGAAGGGCTGGGTCTTGAAGGTCTTCACGATGAGGTCCCCCAGGCCGCTCTGCAAAATGGCCTGCACGTGCTCGGGCGTGCCGCCGGAGAGGTTGGAGATCACCCACGTGGCCTCCTTCCGCACGGGCCTGTCCGTCGTATGAATACATGACACACCACACACCACACACACCACACACACCACACACACTGATCATGCATGACACCATTGGGAGGGAGACATTGACGTAGCGAGCCGCAGGACGGGCCAGGGAGGGTAAGGTGTGTGGGACGCTACCTTGTCTCGGAGCCGATGCAGTGGGCGAGGAAGGGGAGGAAGGGCGGATAGCTCAAGAGGACGTCGGTGTAGGCGTTCGATCTGGTCACCACGGCATGCCAGAATGCGCGGCCATTATTAGTAGTAGTAGTATTATTGGTACCCGTACTGTTGGTCGGCGGCATTGGGGAGGGAGGGGGGGAAGGGGGGAAGTAAGCGCGGCCTGGCCTGGCCTGGGTACCTGCTGATGAGGTTGCCGAATACTCGCAGGAGAGGCAGCACGGTTTCCGGCACAGCCCTCGCCAGCAGCTCCATCTGGACACACGCGATTGAGCGCCAGTTCGCTCGAGGCACGTCGTGCACACGCAACACGCAACTCCACACAGCCACGTTTGCCAGAAGGGAGATTGTGG